GGCGGCGTCGCCGTGTGGCGGCGCGTGATCGACGCGAAGGGAACGATTCCGCGTCGCCACGACGCTTTTTTTCTTTTTTCTTTGGCCGAGGCAGCGCTCGAGAACGTCTGTCCGCCTTCGCCGCCGCCAAAGTCATGGCTCGTTGAGAGAAAAAAATGGATTCTCCCCTCGTGGGAGAAATGTCGACCGCCCCCCCCCCCCCCCACGATGCTCTGCCGCGTGGCACGCAGACCTCGTGGATATCTGTGACTTGTAAAAAAAAAATAGCAAGATTTAAACGTGATACCACTGAGCGATGAGATCGTGTGGAAGACGACAGCTCTTGCTAAAGGTGCAGTCCTGCAACTGCTTGCTGGCGGAAGGGCCTCCACTGGAGGGAGCTCTATGGGATGCCCTCTCTGCTAGGCGGTATATTGGCCTACTCTTCCACGCTAGCCGCACGTCTCGGAAGGGGTGGGAGTTACCCACACTTTGCCCCACCGCGCACGACCTGCCGATCGATTGACAACGATAGTCGGATGGAATTGTATTTATTTGCTGGAAATGCTTCACGTGGAGAGCTGCGAGTTGAAACGCCTCGATTTTGTTTTACTTTGCAAGGTTGCCGGGAGCAATTGACGGATACTGAAAAATAAAAATCAGCAATCTCAATACTCCTACAAAAGGAAAATCGCAGAATAAGACGTACACACAAAAAATGAGATCGAAAATTGTCAGCTTCCTGACGTAGTAAAATATACTGACAAATTGTCCAAAGATGCTCATATAGGCTGACAGTAAAATGTTTTGCAGCTTTGCTTTGTTGCGGATGTCAGCAGGCGACTTGTTCCACGCACATGCATCGCTGTCGATTAAGTATCTTAGTGATTCTGCGTCGGCAGCGGTGCATCAGCTCAAATAACAAGAACTCCACGCCGCTATTCGTCAATAAGACTGTGGCCCCTCTAAGGAAAGAATGGCTACATATAAATTATACTGATAGGAACCTCCTGGTTAAAACAGCTCACAGGGGATTATTGTGTCCGTCCGTCGTGCATCCAAAAATGGGAGGGGTGGGGCTGGGTGGAGAGGGGAGGGTGGGGAGGGGCCGGGTCGGGAGGGGAGGGTGGGGAGGGGCTGGGTGGGGAGGGTGGGGCTGGGTGGGGGGTGGTAGGGGTGGGGCTGGGTGGGGCTGGTCACCCCGTGGTGCTCTTATAAACCTCAACGTTTAACCTACACACGCCGGCTTGTGCCCACCCTCACAGTCGGCCATATTTGCAGAATACACCACGCCGCCGTTGACCCTGACCATTGACCGAGCAACCCAACGTTCCTACCAGCTCCCTCCGCAGGAATGTGTTTTATATAAACAAATAAGTGACGTTTCAGACAATGGCCCTTCCCCAAAGCAGAGAGATCAGCAACTGCGGGCCGGTGTTTGTTGACGAATGTCGAGTCTCAGTTGATGAATCAAGAATCAGAATATTTGTTTACACCGGAGGAATCCGATGAGCAATGAAGATGTCCAATAACTGTGGTCCAGCCCCCCCCCTCCCCCCCCAGATGGAAGCCTCGTTCCTTTGATCCAACGACAATGTGAATTCTATCAATCTCAACTCCGTGCAACCCGGCCCTTCGTCGTTATCGGTCACTGGCGAATCCACTGCTGGATGAAGGCCTCGCAAAGGCGCCGTCATCTCTCGCGGCCCCGCGATGTAGCCAGTCCGCCCGATCCACCGGCACACGAACCGATTTCATCGCTCCATCTCCCCGGCGGAGAAGAATTCGCAGACGCGGAGCGCGACCGTCGGTTACCATGAATGTCTACGACGACGGATTTTACCGTCTGTTTTACAAGAGTTATCCGTCGCGTATTCTGATTTCTGACACGATGTTTTAGCCCGTGATCACAGGCCAAACTCTTCTATATATACGGTGTCTTAGCCCGACAATAATTGACTGTCTGCGTTGGTCTTTTTATTCACTTCCTGCTGCGGGATGCCGCCACAGTTGACAGTGTTGACACTCGATTGCTTTCTCAGAAAGAAATCCGCGTTGGCGCGACAACGGACGAGGGAGAGGTTCAGTTGATGATCTTAATTTGCCACGCTGGCATGAATGTTTTTTTCCTTTCTGTTTCGCGCGCCACATTACTGAGTGCTGAATAACCCTGGACGCGCCATTTCCATCCGATCAGTACCTCGGAGACTCAAAGGCCACTCCCTCCACCATAGGTTGCAATACCAAGCGTTGTATTCTTGGACTTTGACGTGCACAAGACATAGCAGTACAGCAATGGATTCTTGAATCCATCTGTGTGGAGCTTTTAGTGCCACTGCCTAGTACTGCGTGATTGGGTTTTGTTCGGTACTCCGGTTTGATGGCGCACGCACGTCAACCAGCACCGTGGAGGTGCGGATTGGTGGAACCCTGGTTGTTGTTAGAAGGCGGTACGGCAAAATCTGGACTCCACCGGTTCCATCCGTGTGGGATAGAGTGTTTCCCCCTCGCACACGTGGCTGGTTTCCTCCCGCGTGTAAACACTCACTAATTGGCCGACACATATGTAGAGGACCGCAGAGCTTATGCAATTGGGTGCGTAGCGCCGGCTCATCGCGTGGCTGCCTTCGCCGCTTGCCTGCGGTCGCTCCTCCGCTCCTCGCGAGTCGTCCAGAGCGAGCCGATACCCCGCCGAGCGACGCCGTGACAAGCTTGAAATTAAGATTATCGTTGTTGTTGTGAATGTTCACACGGCCTTGCGTGACCTCGCCGGAGCGAGTGTTGCGCTTGGTGGGTTAGTCGGAGCTCACGACGGCGACGGACACCCTGTGTTCGTCTCTTGTCTTGTCACATCCACACTCCCTCTTGTTGCACCACCCCCTCCCAGCGCCGCCAGTCCCCCACGGCAGCTGCACACACTCGCAGGCGCTCGCTCGCGCGCTCTTCCGCGTGACATTTTGCGTGTTATTGTTTCGCCGTGAGATTGTTATAACGAGGAGGAGGGAGACATTTGGAATGGATTTCTTCCCCCCCCCCCGTCCCTCCCATCCCCCCCATCCCCCCCCGTCGCTTCTCGAGGGGCTTCCTGCCGAGAGGACGTGAAAGTGGCAGCTCGTCCGTTGTGAAGGCGCCGTAACGACATCGGTCCAACGTTGGGGGGGCAAGGGGGCCCAGCGTGGCTTAGGAGGTTGATGAGGAGACAGCGGGTGGGGGTGGTGGGGGTGGTAGGGGATGGTGGGGGTGGTGGGGAGAGGTGGGGGTGGTGGGGGGAGGTGTGGGGAAGTGGGGGGAGGTGTTGGGGGGGGGAACCCAACCCAACCCAACCGAAATGCACAGAGAACACTTCGCACTCACAACTTATTCGCCCGTGCATTTTGACGTTTATTTTAGCGCTTCGCCGTTATCATCATCGTTGATTATTATCGTTGTTGTTGTTACTCCTCTCTCCCTGTCTGCGTTGTGTGGTGTCGTCAGCGAGCAATGCACAGCGTGTGCCTTCAGAGTGGAAAATCACTTCACTCTTTGGTTCTTTCGGTAAAAGGAAAATAATAAAATAATCAAAATAAAACATAATAAAATAATTCCATTCCACCTGAAGACGGCTGCTTGCGTTGTGGCCGAAACGTCGTTAGAATTATTTTATTATGTTTTATTTTTATTATTTTATTATTTTCCTTCTACGTGACTTTACCGAAAGAACCAAGAAGATGAATCCCTGCAGTCACGAAAGCTTTAAATCAGGAGGACCCAGAGAAAAATCCACACGACCACGGAGAGAGAGATACAGCAGGCGTCAGGGTCGGGATCGAACCCACGACCTCCTGTATACTAGGCGAGGTAGTTAACATCTCCTAGCCACCGTGGGTGGTGAGATGTTAACCTGGTGAGTATGTGGTGTGAACGCAAGTGTGCGTGAGATGAATCGGTCAGTATCTGGTAGTCCGGCTGCTCAGCAGGAGTGGAGGAATCCACGAGCGAAGCTCACAGGAGCAGAAACCACGGCAGCAGTAGCGACAAAAGAGTGATGCAGAGGCACCAGACCCCCCGGTGAGCGAGTGGCTCAACTGAATTAGTGAACGCTGTAGATCCTCAATCCAGTTGACTCTTCTACGGTGACATTATAATTGTCTTATTTCTTATAATTACTTATTTAACGTTTTTTTTGCGACTAATAAATAAGTGTTTTCATTATAAACGAGGGAGCTAAGCGTTACACCGCGCGTAATGAAAGCTGCCGTGTTGTTTGTACCGCCCATGCTTTACCTTACCAGGTGGTGGCCCATTGAGATAAATTATCTGTTTTAAATGTTTAATTGAGGCTAATGGTGCAAACCAGGACGCTGCAAATGAGACGTAAATAAAATCAAAATCGATACAAACGAGTAGCTACATATGTAGTCATAACAATCGAGGAGGAGAAGAGTAATTAATCCTTTTGCAAATCTACTGCTGGATGAACTCCTCGTTTTGCCGGCTCATACTTCACCACGCTGGCCAGCGCGGGTTGGTGAACGGAAGGGGGGAGGGGGGGAGGCTAGGCCTCCGTTAGGACACCGCTCTCCGCTGCTGCCGCTACCCACGTCGCCAGCAATTCATCGCAAGGTTGCCGTGCTCCCAAGCCCCTCAAAGGTTCACAGTTAATCGACTACCTGTGGTGAACCCAATCACCCTGCTGGGTGGGCAGAGGTGTCGGAGGGGGTGGAAAGAAACTTGCCCCCGTTGTTTTAAATTTCCGTGTTGGGAGACCGTTCCACCGTTGTTGTGGCAGCAGCGCGTCTGTACGTGTACCTACGGTGAACTTATTTCGCACCGTACGTTTCCAGCCGTGCTAACCGGAGGTACAGGTGAAGGCCAAGAAACCGAACACAAAGAGCAGTTCTGAAGAAACGAGCGTTCAATTTAGAACGAGTTTTCAATCGAGCATCCCTTGCGTCGCGCGTGTGTGCGGTGCGATTGTTTTTTTTTCCGAGTCGTTCCAACGAATCCGCCGGACATCGTCTCCCGCCATCCCTGTCCCGCAGGTCCCACGGCGGAAGGTCCGTGGATGGCGGAACGTCCGCGGCGGTGGCGTCACCGGGAGCCGGGATTCCCCCGCGTCCCACGGCCGGCCCCCACTCGCGATCGCCGGCGCCCCCGGGAGAGACGGCCGCTCGCGACGGCTCGGCGGGCCCCACGTGGAGGAGCGACCGCGGCGACGGAGACCGCTTCTTCTCCTCCAACGCCAACGCCGCCGGCATCACCGGCGCCGGACTGGACCCCGCGTTCCTGCGCCACCTCGTGCAAGACTGCACCGGCATGAAGACGCTGCTGCTGAAGCTGAAGCGAGCACTCCAGGAGGTGAGGTCGGAGTCGGGGGTGGGGAGTGGTGGGAAGCGGGCGAGTGCGCGAGAGTGGTTGAGTTGGGAAAGCGGTGAGTTGGTGAGTGGATGAACAGCGAGCGGGCGGGCGGGCGGATGAGTGAGCGAGTCAGCATATGCGGGCCATAATGTGTTTTATTCACGTTCCGTGTTGAGAGGGGGGGGTGTTGTAGTGGTCGTCACGGTGGGGAGTAACGGCACGGCAGTCGGCACGCTGCGCTACGAACCCGGCAGCTCGAGCTCAATTACCGCTACAGCCAACACCGGTGACGATTATCCGAACGGGTCCTGGGCCCTTTTTGCCACTCCTTCTGGAAGGGCCTTCACTACAGGGAACTCAGGAGAGAACATCTAGAGGGAATTTGACCTACTCCTTCGCTGGACGACGTGTCGGAAGGAGGGTTTGAGTAGCCATGCATTACCCCACCACACGCGGCGTGCTTAGCAAACTATCTGTGGTGTACCCACCTCTGTGCAAGACGTTGATGGGGGGGGGGTGGATGAAAGAAACTCGTCCCCCATAGTTGTGATTGCCACGCCAGGCGTTCCAATATGACCGACACCCTATAGGTCGTAAGTTCAGTATACTGACCGTTCCACTGGCGAGCATTCATAGGATCAATAAACCTGGTATTAAGAGGAAATAATTGGCAATAAAGGCGAGGAGATATTTGAGGGGGAATCAGAATATGAGCGAGGCGTGCTGCGGTTCAGTTGTGCATCTCAGGTGAGCTCGTGCAATTCAAGAGCGCGCGGCACTCCATATGCTCCGTAGTCTCCAGCTGTGCCCTTGCTTTAATCCGAGCGACATAAAAGAGGCCGCAAATGCAAACGCCGTAGTCTTTGGGGCCATTTCCGACGATGAAAAACGTTCCCCACCCCCCCCCCCAGCTCTGTCGAAGGCGACCGGAGTGGAATTGACATCCGCACCTGGCGCTGCGAAGCTCGGGATGAAAACACTTTTGTCGCGTTCCATCTCGCAATCGGTGGAGAACGCCACCTGTGACCCGTCAAGAACCTGGCACAGCTATGCAGGGGTTGGGGCCTTGACATTACCTGGCGGCACGCGTGGGTGACCGCCATGCACGCCAGGTTGTTATAGGTGGCTTCGGAGCTAGGTGCATAGTCAGCGAGGGGAGAGTGCAACAAAATAAATTGTTGTACAGTACTATAACCCCCCCCCCCCCATTCCCGCACACAGTAGTCATCTAGCAGTGGATTGACAGAAAGGTTTACCTCGTTGTGCGTGCGACTGAAAGCTTCCAAGTACTCGAGTTGACGGCTCTGAGGGGCTGGGGTCGAACCTGGGTTTCAGCCGCCCGTAATTAAATCTAGGGTCCAGTGTCATGAGTCAATAGTCCGTGCCCAGTCGCCTATGAATATCCCAAAAAAATCACGAGATGGAATGTCACGTTTAATACGATTGTACATATCGTTGACTCAATTGGGGCTAATGTTTCATTCCGTTTGTTCGTTAGTGAACATGTTTTTTGAGCAATGCATCATAGCAGGAAGTACGCACTGATTACACATTTCTTCTGGAGGCCACATTGGCATGCTTCTTTTCATTATGTTCGACATGTTTTGTGTAATGTTGCGCCGAACTGGGGAGGACACCATAACACAAAGCGGGGCTTCTTGCCTGCAACATTGGTAGTTAAAACTAAACAAATATTTTTTTGTTATTTACCAGGTAAGGCCCACTGAACTTTTTATAGCTCTTTTTCAGATGCGACGTGGCCACAAATGAAAGCTCGATGAGAAGTGGCTTATCGCGTGAAATGCATCGCAGCCCAATACTCGAAACACATGTGTCTAAATGTGGAAGGAAGGACCTGTAAAAACATCCACGTGATCACCACGGGGAGAACATGCAAACTCCAAACATGCAGGCGTCAGGGTTGGGATCGAACCCACGACCTCCTGTATATCAGGCGAGGTAATTAATATCCTGCCACCGTTGCGCCCAGCATTGATTCAATTTCACCAGAATGTGTTCAAGCGAGCCTTACTCTGCCCGTCTTGAATCAACGCTGCTGAAATAATGCACTTCCCAGAAGGCCGTGCACCTGATGGGTTGTGTAAAAAATATTTATTTTATTGTTTGTATGGAGAGACGGATATGTAAAGGAGACATTGTTTTGTTTGTCGTTATATTTGTTGTCAAAGACATGTCAATAATGACCGCCAGTTAATATTTTTACACAACAAAGAGACCAACACTGGGACCAGTTTGTCCGCGCGACATTGCGCTATTTGGAAAAAAACACACAACCTCCTCATCATCGTGATGATGATGGTGAAACAACCTCGTGCCGGAAACCCAGGTTCCCGCTGGTGTCCAACAGAGACTCGCCGATAATTTGTTGTTGTGTCACCGAAATTAAATCAGTCGCCGTGCCGACAGCGAGCCGCTTGTACGCACGCTGCGGGGGCGCGGGGGGCGCAGGGGGGGGGGGCCGTGGGGAAGGACCGGGAGGGGGGGCACGTATGTGCAGATGCACGCACGCCGGCTGGCAACGCGCCCGCCACGCCAATGATTCGTACTTTTGGTATTGCCGCCACTGTTATAGCGCGAGGTCGTCGCGTTATGGGATTTCTCACGTGCACTGCAGAGCAGACGGCATGGGCCTAATCAGTACCCTTAGGGCATAAGTTCATAAGTGCATGCATGCCTTACGAACCCTGCATCGCGCCCTTTCAGATGCGCTAATACGCCTGGAGCTATGCACTTTTAAATCCAGATTGAAAACTCACTTCTTTGGAACTGCTTTTTGTGTTTAGTTTCTCGTCCTTTCCCCGCACCTCCGATTAGCACGGTTGGCTACGTACGATGTGGAAGAAGTTCTACTTACAACCAAATACAATTTTCCCTTATCTTCACCTGTAATTGCATTGGGCATACTGTATACACGTGTTTCTTTACATATGAGTACAATAGTCACCCGATATCAGTTGAATATTTCTGCAACTTAATATTGCGATTGTAATTATGGTCTGTCTCAAAATAATATGCCCGAGCCAACTTAAGCTACCGCAAATTCATTGTCTCAAGTTGTACAATGTTTTTATCCTTTTCACGCGACAGTAATCTTTTGCACTTTTTCCTTCTTGCTGCTGCGCTTTGCTCGAGCAAAGTTACTCTGACAAATGAGACTCCCCCTGGTCTCCTGTCGAATTTACACCCGGTTAAATAGAAATGCGATTGGATAATGGTTTGTATTCAGGGCCGAAGGCAAGGTGACACAAACTAGAAACCTCTTTTCCACCTTCGTGCTGGCCAAAACCGGGGATGCTGCATTCTCTGAAATGGAGCGCGGACGATGAGGCTGTGTGTGTGACTTGCATACATTTCTCTTGGCGCTTCCAAGATCCCGGTTTGTCCCGTCGCTGACATGCATGGTGTCCATGATGGTATCTATCTCCCTTTATTAAAGATGTATGATTAGACAGCAGTTTGAGTTAGCTCAACTCACAGGCATTTGGGGCAGGTGCTATATTAACGGGGACCCACGAAGGAGGCACGGCGCACGAGGGGGTGGCTTGGCTAGCACAATGCCTCCCCAGTGCTGGTGTTTGCACACCGTACTAGGTACTAATTTGAGGCTGAGTTGACCCAGGGGAGGCCCGGTAAGAACTATTCAGATGTGCGTCACCGATATTCGCCACGAGCGGCAATCGAACTCGGGTACGCCGGGTTCAATGTCGCTCACGCGCGCACACACGCACACACGCACTTGTGTCCACACTTGGCAGTGTGAAGATTTGATCATACGAGCCTCATCCCTCTACAGCGACCCGGTGTTGGTGACACAACGCATCGAGATTTAAGAGTCTCGAGTGTTCATCAATACCTCGGCTGTGATTGACTTGGATGCTCCTGTTACTTGCTGTTGAAGATCACTCAAGATGTTGTGCCAGGGCTTACTTGACATTTGCTTTATCTCTCGCAATAGCCCCATCTCGTTCAACCGCACGCTTCAAACCGGTATAATTGTAAATATTTAATAATGGATGATATTTTTTATGCACAACCCTGCGTAGCATCGAGGGTTTTTTTTTCTTTTTTTAAATTTTGGGTGTGTAAAATAAAAATTGTGAATGTGGCTGGCATTTATTTATTTATAATGAAACAAATGCCAGGATGGTTTGTGCTGCGCCTCGTGTGGATACGAATTGTAGTTGGCGGTTGTATTTTTTCATTTAGATTTTGTTCAGTTTTTTTTGCCCGTGTGTGCGCGTGTGCCTCTCCCGAGTGTAGCGGTTTGCGCGTTGCGCTACGAACCCGGCAACCCGAGTTCGATTCACGTTCACGGCTAACACCTGTGACGATTATCTGAATCGGTCCTGGGCCTTCCCTAGGTCGACTCGGCCTCAAATGAGTACCTAGTGCGGTGTGTAAACATCGCCACTGGGGAGACAAAGGCGGCAGGGCATGGTGCTGGCCACCCACCCCATCCTGTGCCGTGCCGGCCTTCATTGGTGCTCGCTAACAGCACTTGCCCTAACACTCTACAGTTTATACAGGAAATCTTTGTCTTTGTCTCTCTCTACCCAGGATAGAGTTCCCTTCGACCAGTGTCTGCACGTCTGTCGACACACACACACACACACACGGCCATCCGTCTGTTTATCTGTCGATCGGCCCCATCAATCCTGAAATCCGTCCATTGTTTATTTACGTTATTTATTTATTTCTCAAAACAAAGCTTTGGCATGAAGTCGATGGTGTGATTGGCGCCTCTCTGCATTGGAGGATAATCATTTGTAGGCAGTAGCAAAGGGCACGGTGCGGGTACTGCTTTCAAATGTATCTCCGCTTTTTCTATATATTCTTTTTTTACCTCCCTGGTCCCCGATTCGACAGCGCAGAATCGAGGCGTGCCTCCAAAATGGGATGTCTCGATTTGTGACGTGAGGGTGATGGTGTGGGTGGGGACTTGATGTCGATATGTAGCAGAACGGAGGAGGAGATTTGGA